TGTTGAGGGGTCTGCAATCACATGCCCCCCGGTAGTCGCTGGTTTTTTAGCCAATTTTCTTTTAGCCAATTTTGTCTTTGCTGATTTTCTTTCAGCCGATTTTGTTTTAGTCGATTTTCTTTTAGCTGATTTTGCCTCGGCCGATTTTCTTAACCGATTTCTAAGTACCCTTTTGAAATTAACATCGATTAGTCTTTTTCTTCTTTTCTTAAAGTTGGGTTGAGGACAACGAGTTAAAACAATTCTTTGAGCCGATGATTGTTGTTGCCGATTATTAAATGCTATAATCGGCAAAGAATTCTGGTACATAGGTCGCTTTGCTTTCAGCCGATTTGTACCGTTCCACTCATCAGTACCAGGCTAATTCACCACCTGCTGATATTCGACTGTTGGAATTTGCCGATAATCGGCAGTCGCTGACTGATAATATTCTGGTAAACTTTGCTGTTGATTTTATGGTAAAATTTCTTGCCGAGATCGGCAAGGTTGAGCAATTTCGGTACTGGTTTTCGGCAACCTCTCATGTAACGAAGGTTGTGATACAGGGGTGATATACTGATTTACCACCTGGTCAGGATAAGGTTTCCTGTACACAGGCCGAGCACGTTTATGCCCTTGAGCTTCCTCGGCCTTTATAAGCTGAGCTATCAATTCTCTAATCTCCTGATCATTCTTCCTCATTTCTTGCTATTCTCTCTGAGGGAGAATAGGCATAACTGGTGGGCATTGTATTTGAGCCATTAGTGTTTTCATCCTCTGTTTACATTCTGGCCAACTTTCTTGTTGATAATCGACTGCTGAAACTTGTCGATAATCTGATGCTGAAACTTGCCGATAATCAACGATTGTTAGCGTCTGCTGATAATCGACTATCGGTACTTGCCGATAATCGACTGTTGGAACATGCCGATAATCGGCTGCTGAAACTTGCTGATAATCGGTGACTATTGGAACATGCCGATAATCAGCGGTTGTTGGCGTCTGCCGATAATCAACTTCTGTTGGAATATGCCGATTATTAACTATCGATACTTGCTGATAATCAGCGACTTCAGGAACATGCCGATAATCAGCGACTTCTAGAACATGCCGATAATCAATTGCTGGAACATGCCGATAATCGGTAACTGATTGCTGATAATTATCTGGCCAACCATATGGCTGATTAGAATATTGGTACATCGGCTGATTTGACTGATCATAATATTTGTATATCGGTTGAGAAGCCGACTACATATTTTTATTATAAATTACTCACCTAGTTGGGTCCCACCGGGCGTGCCAAGAATGTTGACGCTAAAAATCAACTCCTTAGATCCGATTCGGAATCGATATGTTGCGGGCTTTCCAGAACCAATTGTATGGTTCGAGTGTGAGTTGTCAACTTGTAGTCTCTTTGAGAATACCAACTATCAGGTGATGCGATGATAAAGAGAATAGTAAAACTCCTCTTTGAGTTCAAATTACCTTAATTAAAAGGACTTTATCAGTAAATAATATATAGTAATAATTTGAGAATAGAAAGGGAAGAAAATATAGATATAGAAAGTGATAGGGAAAAGAGATAGAGAAAGAGATATAGGGAGATAAATAGAACGAGACTGAAATAGAGAGGGAGAGAGATAGAGATAGTAAGGATGCTATTTAGGGAAAGTGCTTGAGAAAGCAAACAAATAAATATAATGATTTTGAGGGTGCTGGACCTCTTACAATGAATACTTCTACAATTATTTATAGAAGTCATAAAGAGTCCTAAAATGAATAACTACATAAAAAGATAGAATTAATTCCTAAACAAACTCTAATAGATAAGACATATCATATTCAAGGTGCCAACTCTTTTGAAGAGATTACATATTCTGATAAAATCCTTCTTGATGTCACTTCCCTGTAAATTTATCGTAGTTGAAAATATACGATGATATATCTCCTCCTTTATCTCCCACAAGATTAGAATAATTAAGGATAATAACACTTCTACTTGATCCAAAACTCTTATAATAAATCCTTAATTATCTCTTTTAACAATTCTAATTATCCCTTCATAACCCAAAATACGTATATCGCTGCCACATCATCATGCCACTTCACTGCCACGTAATTTACCAAAATGGGGGTCAACACCTTCATCCACATGGACAGGAATAGAGCTCCATTTTACTTGAGAAATTTTCTTCAAGTCTTGTTTGCCATTCCAAAGAAAATGTTTAAACCTCTTCTCCAGCTGATTTTTAATCCCCCAAGGAACTTTAAAACCAAACAACCAGTGATACAAATAGGAATACAGAACTGATTTAATCAATTCCACTCTACCAGCCAAAGACAAGTTAATAGTATTCCAATGAGCTAATCTGGCATTAACTTTGTCCAACAAGCTACTGAAATCACCTGCCCTTAACTTGCGATTTGACAAGGGTACCAAGGTATTTGAAAGGGAAATTTTCAGTTTGAAATTGAAGGATAATAGCCAGTCTTCTCTTGTATCTAACTGATTTAGAAAAATTAACAGAGCTTTTCTCTTGACTAACCTAAAAACCAGATGCTTCTTTGAATTTTTGGAACAATTCTGCAATTGCTTTTGCATTGAGATCTCAGACTTAACCACCAACAGAAGGTCATCAGCATAAAACACATGAGAAATCTTCAAACCTATATTGATCACTGATTTGCAAAGTTTAATCCTCCCACTATCTATGTACTCAGTCATTAAAGTGCTAAAAAATTTAGTAACTAAAACAAATAACAATGGAGATAAAGGGCAGCCTTGTTGAATCCCTCTAGAAGATGAAAAATAACCTGCAGGCACACCATTGCATAAAATAGAGAATTTTGGAGAAGAGATACAAGCTGTAATCCATTTTATCCATTGATCATTGAACCCATGAGCCTTTAGCCTGCTTAAAATAAAACTCCAATCAACAGAGTCATAAGCCTTCTTCAAATCAACTTTTAAAACCATATTAGAATCACCAAATTTCTTTCCAAAATCCTTTAACAGGTCTGAAACCAAAAGAATATTATCATGTAATCTCCTATTCTTAATGAAAGTAACCTACTCAGGGCCAACCAATTTAGGTACAACATCACTCAATCTATTAGCTAAAATCTTGGCAATGACCTTGTAGACCAAATTACATAAAGCAATAGGTCTGTAATTTGAGATTTTATCAACATGATTCAATTTGGGGATTAAAGCAAGGAATGTAGAATTGATACCTTGAGGAAATTGACTAGTGTTAAAAAAGAACAACACTTCCTTAATCACATCTGCCCCAACCACACTCTAATACTTTTGATAGAATCTAGCTGGGAAGCCCTCTGGTCCTGGAGCTTTGTCAGGATGGAATCCCATTATCACTCCCTTGATTTCCTCAACAGAAATAACACTATCTAGCATACAACATTCCTCTTGATTTAAGCTCTTCCTAGCTGGAGTAGATTCCTGTAAAATTCCCCCTCTGTATTTGTAAAGATCGGTGTAAAACTGAATCAACTACTCTTTGATGATATTAGGATTAGAGGAGACTTCCCCATTCACATTCTCTAGCTGAGTAATAGCATTTTGCCCTTTGTGTTATTTAACAATATTATGAAAAAAGGCTGTACACCTGTCCCCCTCCTTGATCCATTTTATTCTTGATTTTTAAGCCCATAAAATCTCTTCAAGATCAAGAACATGCTGCAGGTGCCCAGAGGCTTCCCTTTCTGTGTTTATACTATCTTGAGTAGCAGGCTACAAAAGCATCTCCATTTGAATTTTGTGTAAGCTATCCCTTGCTCCTTTAACTTGATCTGAAACACTTCCAAAGTTCTTATTCTATTATTTAACTGCATTCTTTACAGCCCTAAGTTTCTTTTGAAGGACATGGAATGGATTACCTGCCCTATGGTCTCCCAAGCCTTTTCCACAATATTCTTCATCTCTTCTTGCATGCTCCATATTTTCAAGAACTTGAAAGGTTTTGGCCATTCTGAACAGTTGAAATGCCAATTAATGGCCATTCCATAGTGATCAGATAATGAGGCAGGAGTAAAGTAAGCATTTGTATCAGAATATTGATGCAGCCACAAGTCATTAGTCAGTACTCTGTCTAGCTTGGCATTGATTCTAGAACTCAGATTTTGTTTGTTACACCAAGACCAATCCTCATTATTAATAGGGATATCATCCATCTTTAGATCATAAATAACACTATTAAATTCATCTAATCTGCTTTGAGGAATTCTTAAACCTCCCTTCTTCTCAGAATTGAATCGAACAATGTTCCAATCTCCCAAAACTATCCAAGGACCATCAATTATAGTAGCTTGCTCCTTTAATTCCTTCCACAACTCTGTTCTTTCCCTAACTCTATTAGCAGTATATACAGTAGTGACATAAACAATTAAACCAGATTGCAAATGCTTTACCTTTAACAGCATGGATTGTATATCTTCATGCAGTAAAATAACATAAAAAATGGATCCATTCCATCCAACCCATATTTTTCCCAAATAATTAAACCTCTAATTAGCTAACCAAGTCCAATGAGGACAAATTTTCTTTTTTATTCTAAGAGATTTACCTTCCTTAACCCTAATTTCCACAAGGACAGCTAAAACAAACTTTTGATCTGAAATCCATTGCTTAGCTTCCCTCTGCATTGGAGGTCTATTAAGACCTCGGACATTCCAAACCCCTAACATTCAAAGGGTTGTGATAGTGAACCACTGCCTACATTCTTTCCTCTGGTCACTCTATCTGAAGGGGGAATAACAGGTTTGTTTCTCTTCCTTGACTATTTTCCTCCTCCTAAAGTTACATCTTCTAATAAGATAATAGTCTCCAATTCCTTTTCTATTGTTTTACACTGATGGTCCACCTTAACCTTGGTTGGAGTCAAATAAGTAGTACCAACATCCCTGCTATCTGCATCCTCCTGCAAATCTTCGTCACACACACTATTTGGCACCGCAAAAGAATCCTCCTTCTCCATAACAACACCATCCACCTCTTGTACCTACTGCTGAAGGACAACCTCAGGTATATTTTCAATTTCCTTCTGGAGACTTAAGATACTTGGAGAATCAACTTTAGATTCAACATGTTGTTGTTGCTGGACAACATTAACCTTCTCCACAACAGGACTAACAACATTTTCCAACTCCTGGGCCATAACTTCATTATCTTCTAACAAGGCAAAAGATTTCTTCGTAACAATAGTATTATTTGTTTGCAGATCTCTCATAGGTATATTATCAGTAATCTTGTCCACAATCTCACCTTCGACCAACTTTCTCTTTTGTTTAACCACCCACCTATCCAAAGTTTTTCTAGGTTTGGACTGTAACACTTTCTTTGGACATTTGTCTTCTGTGTGATCCACTTTACTACAGAGTTTGCAAACCACTGGTTTCCATTCATATTTAAAAGATAAATCACAATCAGTGCTATATATGTCTACCACCATTGCTTCTGGTAACGATTCCTTAACTTCAACTTCTACCATAACTCTGACAAAAAGCCCTTTGTCTCTTGTAGTGTCGGGATCATCCGTATAGATAGGCCTTGCAAAGGATGAACATACTTTAGACACAGAAATCTCATTACGATAGTGAACAGGTAGATTGTAAACAGGTAGCCACACCGATACAGTTTCAAGGACTTCCTTATGGAAATTGACATTCTTGCACCACTTTTTCAAGATGATTGGCCTTCCTTCAAAAGTGTGGATCCTAGACAAAACTTTCTGGACATCATCGTCGTTCTTAAATTGCACCATGAAAAAGCCGTCCTTAAGGTAAACTAATGTGAAGTCTTAGGACAAGTATTTCTCCATAAAGGATTTGAATTATGGATAGTATGGCTTCTTTCCCATTACGTATCCAATAACAGATGAACTTCAATATGCAACATCCTCAGCCACATCTTCGTTTGTGATGGAAACTTTTGCACCACGACATTTTATGATGATATTGCAAGTTTTTAAAAGAAGATTGGGATTCATCAAAGAAACTACTATATGTAGGTTTACTGGGGGTAGGGTTTCAGCGTGAAGCTTTTGCCGGAGGTGCTCCCTTTATTTTTCATCTCCACAATGGTCTCTACACATAGTTGCTTATATCCCTAGTAAATTTACTAATTTGTTGTTTCACTTAATCAATTATATATTATGAGGTAGGATTATATTTATAGTATGAAATTACGAAGTTATATATAATCAATAAATATTTTGATTTTCTTGTAATTTTCTGAAGTTTTCTACATACTTCACTTAGCTTGGAAATAAAAATAAATGACAAATTGGATGCATCATTCCATATATGGTGGAATCATTAGTAAATTAGGAGCTTCCATGTGAAAAAATAATAAAAAAATCAAAAGCATTAGTGGTGAAGCACATGTTAATTTGTAATTAAGTGCATACTAAGAAGCATTTGGAAGATCTCAACAGGGTCAATGTAAAGACAATAGGGAAGGTTTAAATATGTTGAAAGCTAAGTCACATAAAACAAGAGCGAAAGCGGAGAACGTTAAATCTAAAAAAATTAAGAGCGGGAGCGCCTTGAGAACGCCAACATATTTACTTATATGTACTTATTTGCTCAATGCATTATTATTTTTATTTATTAAATACTATATTTTTTAATTTTTAAAAATAATATATTTAAAAGTAATGAGATATTATCAAATTATTATTTTTATAAATAAAAATTACAAAACAATAGTTATAATTTTTAATTGCATTCAATATCTTAAAGGCTAGTGGAAGTTTCTGTTGCTTCTTAACAAAAGGTTTCTACGTTCAATTCTTATTTTCTACCCTAACTACTTCTTTTTACTCATTTTTTGAGCCAAATAGCACCCGCATAATGCTAATTCGCAAATTTAACCAAACTCAAACGAATTCTAGTTTTGAATTCGTGAACTCTAGAAATTGAGTTTGTGAATTTTGTGTGAATTCGCTCCCAACTCAACAATTCGTGTGCGAAACGTGAGAGTGAAAGCAAATTGTGTGATTTAGGTTGAGAGAATGAAGCTATATATGCTTCCCTCCACACCCTTTTCTCTTTATTTTTTCTGATGACTAATATTTGAGTTACTAATATCATTGTAGTTGTTAGTAACACCATTAGATTGATGTTTTCGCAGGTCAGATTTCCTAGTTTGGAGAAGTTGCTGATATTGTAGGATGTTATTCAAAGATGTGGGGTGGGCTCCATCCATAGTAAAAAAAGATAAAATAATAATAAAAAATAATAATAAAGTATGCAGTGAATTAAATGCGTGCGGTGTGTGTAAGAGTGTGTGAATGTATGAGTGAAATAAGAGCGGCAGTAAGTAAATGTTTGCCCCCTCCCCCCAACAAAAAAAAACAAAAAAACAAAAAAAACAAAAAAACAAAAAAACAAAAAAAAAAAGAAAAACAAAAAAAAAAAAAAAATTGTTGGGTGAGGCGATAAATCTTGCTTATGCATACGGTTGTTTATCAACAGAATATGTTATTTGTTCTTGTAATTACTCTATGTTTTGTGCATCTTTGAGTGGAAATTTCCTTTAATTATTATTATTTTTTAAATAGTGGAATTTTGCCAGTTTGTCTAATAGTCTTTTTCTCATTTATTGTTGGAGGGTTTTTCCAAATTAAATACGTATAGATAAAAAAAAAAGTAATTTTGTAAATCCAAAATAAGAAAAAAATTGAAATCGGCTAAACTGGAACCAATAAGAATTTAACTGGTGTATCTTTTTCATCTCCATGAATTATGTACATATTACAAGAGATAGTACTAACATATCTATATATAGAATTATGATAAAAGGCTTAAAAGCAAAAAAGTAAGACAAAAATAAGCAAAAGAGAATGAAATTAACAACATTATCAATGAGAGATTGATTCAGGGATGGCAATGGGGCGGGGTGGGGCGGGGATCTCATTCCCCATCCTCATCCTCGGTCAAATTTTTTACTCCCATCCCAGTCCCCATACCCGTTTAATTTTCAACCCCCTCCCCCATCCCTGCCCCACCCCACCCCGCCTAGCCAAATTAGCCCCCGTCCCCATCCCCATCCCCGCCCCGCCCCACAAAACATTTTTTAAATTCCAATTGACCTTTAACAAAATCAACACAGCCATAATATTTTTCAACCTAATAATTTAATAAAGTTTCAGCACAATTATAATAATTTAAAACATGATTAGATGTTTGATGCACAACGATTATGTTTTTTCTCTATGCTGTGAGGGAATAGATCTAGGGTTTCACTTTCAAAAGTGAATATATTATATATATAGTTATGTAATTTAGTTATATTTTATAACATGTAAGGGTAATTTTGTAAAAATGCACTATAAACGGGGCGAGGTTACCCTCTCCCCGCCAGGGTTTCAAATACAATTCCTATCCCCTCCCCATTTACATAAATGGGTCCCCAAACCCGCCATAAATAGGGCGGGGACCTGCCGGGTATGGGGATTTTGCCATCCCTAAGATTGAGAGAATCCAAATATAAGTTAGGTTGAATCAGTTAACTAACATATTTTTGAAAAGTTAGAACTGAATCTTTAGATTATATGAAAAAAAAATATTTTCAAATTATGCATATTAGCTTTATAACCGATTTAAAGTAAGCTATAATGCCATGGAGAAACACAAACACTAAAAAAACACACAAATATACTAAAAGGAATAGGAATTACAAGATTGTGGAAACACATAAAGAGAAAAAGAAGATTTATTATGTCACTGAAATTCAAAATAATAGCAAGTGATCACATTATATTATAAAATATAAAATAATAAAATAATAAAAAAAAATTGTGTGGGGCTCTTCACATCCTAATATATATATATATATATATATATATTAAAAGAAAGAAAGTGTGGACCTGCCATATATATATATATATATATTAAAAGAAAGAAAGTATGGATCTACCATGTGGTACCGCACCAAACACCCATATCTCTCGCCCTCACCACTTTTGGTTGCATACTGGATGGTCTTAGCAAGAGTTTTCACCTTTTACTAGATAAGTTTGGCTTGTTGATTCAATTTTCTAATAATGGTTTTCTATTTTTTGAAAATTAAAAAAAATCACAAAAAAATAGTATAAAATTTTACTTGACTGATAGTTTTTTGAAAACTCTTTAAAAAAGCAATCTTTTATAATTTTTTACTTTTTGAGTTTTGTTTAATGAGTAACAAACCAAAAAAGCCACATTTCTGAATTCACATTGCTAGTCAAAACGAGAATAAAAAGTCTTCCCAAATTAGATATATTTTCTGTTGACCCTAAAATCGGCTAACTCGAGCTGATCTTAATTTGATGTAAACCGGGCGTGCCAGAACCAAACATATGGTTCAAATGTAAATTGTCAACTATAGTCCATTTGAGAAGGTTGACTTTCAGATGATGCGAGAAAAAATGGAACAATAAAATTCCTCTTTTGAGTTCAATAATGCCTTAGTTAAAAGGACTTTCCTAGTGAAAAATTATAGTAAAAGATTGATAAAATAGAAAGGGGAGAAACATGGATATAGCAAGAAGAAAGAGAGAAATTGAGAGAAAGAAGGAGAGAAGGAGACGCGAATAATAAGATAAGGATAAAGAGAAAGAAGAAATAGCAAGGATGCTATTTATGGAAAAGCTTGAGAAAGCAAATAAATAATAATAATGATTCTGAGGGTGTTGGACCTCTAGTACAGCATGCCACTTTGTTTATTTATAGAATAATTCACAACTAATTCCTACACGCAAGTATTTTACTTGCATTACAACTCTATATCAAAACAATTGTAAATTCAAAATAAACTAATCCTAGAGATAACTATCACCATTTAACTTACACAAACTAATCGATATATATTAAAATTATGTAACTAAACTTATCTAAAAGATAAACAGTAGCTTTTGATTCTTATCCACTAGTCAATTCAAAGGCTTCTCCAACCTTTGCATGTATTTTAATCCATGTAAACTGATGAGCGCTGAAAAGTGCGTACTTAAACTCCTTAAGCTTAGGCATTCTAGTACCTTTATCTATCTTACCTTACCGTTTTAGATTAATTTCCTATTATTTCCATTTTCAGGCACTTATCCCAAAAATAAGCTAACTCAGCCAAATAAGAGCAAAAAGGAAGCAATTCTGGGATTAAACAAAGAAAGGAACAAAGTGGAGAAAGAAAGAAGTTAATGAAGCCAAAGGTGGGAAGCAACAAAGTTCGATCGATTCAACTTCAAGGTTCGATCAATCGAACACTGATCGATCTCAGTACTTCAAGATAGATCTAAACCTTGACCCAAAGTAGAAAGTCCAAAGTTCAATCGATCCAACACCACCCTTGGATCGATCGAACACTATTGTCCTTATCCAAATAATTGATCCTATCCACAATTGTACCTCCCACTAACCACTTTTGTCTTTTTCCCAAAAATATCTCTTAAAATATCTCGGATTTGTCTTTTCCCAAAAAGCTCAACCAGTTGAATCGATCCAGCCTAAGTGCGATGGATCTCAGCAAGTTCGATCGATCCAAGTCCAATGTTCGATCGATCAAACTTCCTCCAGTGCAAAAAAGTTAAAAAGCCAGCTTGTTCAATCCGTCCTCTATCCAATCATTAGAGAATATTCTTTGCACGACCCTAGCTCATTTAGTGTGTCACTTGACCTACCTATAAAAGGAATATGATGCACTTTTTGAAGGAGGAGATTTTAGCATTTGGTAGATACAACTTTAGAGGCTATTCTTAGTGTAGAAGAAAAGAGGGGGAGGTTA